TTGGAATGTACTCAAAATATGATTTGGACAAATACTTCAACGTGTATGTGTGTGTGTATGTGTATATATATATATATATATATATATATATATATATATATATAATTATTATATAAAAAAAAAAAAAAAAAAAATATATATATATATATATATATGTGTGTGTGTGTGTGTGTGTGTAATTTTTTTTTTATATATATATATATAATAATTATATCTGCTTACTTTGTATTGATTCAACTCTTAAGAATAGTAATTGTTCTGCAATTAATTCATTGTTAACATTCTTTTTCATTCGGTTTTTCCAGTTATAAGCTATATTTTTAAAATAGGATACTTTTTATGTATATATTTAATTATAATATAAATATATATATGATATTATATATATATATATAAAGAAAAAAAAGGCATATATATACATCACACAAGGAATGATATAATAGGCATAGGATATATATATATATATTGTTCTATATATAAGTGATATATTATATATATATATATATATATAATCATGATATATATATATATATGGGCCAATGCTATATATATATATATAAAAATATGATTATCCATATGGATATATATATTATATATAATAGATATTAATATATACTATACAATATATTTCTTTTCTATACATCAATATATAAACATATATAAAACAAATTTATATTACCAAATATATCATAAAATATATATAAATATATATAAAACTTTTGCATTATTTTATATATATATTACAAAACTCATCAACATTAACTTGAGGATTGATGATTTTGAGCAAAATAAATCAACCAAATTAAACCCATCATATATTCACCTTAACATATAGAAAGGATTCTTGGAAAAGGTTTTGGGCTCAATCAAATTCCAAATATCAGTATTCTGATGTTTGGTCAAAATTATCAATAGGAGTAGATAGTTAGCCACATCCTTCAAAATAACCCCTCACCAGTCTTTTTGAACAGGAGCAGAGGTTTATCCCTATTTTCTGTTTATAGATGTTTTCAGCTTGAAACCCTAACATCTGCGCCTGAAATTTTATTCACTAATTATTTATTTTATTTTACTTTTTCTCACCTCCACCAATAGGAGTAGATAGGTTTCACCTATCACCAGGTACACACTCTTCCTCAGTCTTTTGAACAGGAATTGAGGTTTATCCCTTGTTTCCTGTTTAGGACTGGGTTTCCAGTTCCTTCTGAAGTTTACTTCAACTCTATACTCCAAACAGCTGTCCTTCTTTACCTTAATACAGCCCCACACAGTAGCCCTCTACCTTGAGTGGTTCTTGGGCTTTGTATTGAGTAAACATAACTGGTTGGCAGAACAGAAGACGTGTCTATCGTGTTCACTTTTGCACAAATGATCTTGGGAAAAGCAAACAGCATCTTCAACATTTTTCTAGAATGGTCCATCGTTTATCTATGTAGAGCATAATGTGTATATATATATATATGGAACTATACATATATACATATATATATATATATATATATATATATATATATATATATACACACAATATATATTGGCATAATGTATATGCTAAGAAACAAGCACTGTGACTATTACTAGCCAAATACACATTCTACAAACAAATTTTAGTAAGTTGTCATTGAAGTTCAGTAACCCCTCTAAAATTTCTGTACGAAGAACATTATCTATTTCATAACTTTCTTTCTATCATTATGCTATCTTCACTTGAATATCCTACTCTGGACGTGGCTATATAAAGCTGGCGCTGGGAGAAAAGAAAATGGCGGAACAAAAAGCAGGTCTTAAACAGTGGAACAAAAAGCAAGTCTTAAAAGACATAATAAAAAGCAAGTCCTAAAAGGCATAATAAAAAGCAAGTCCTAAAAGACATAATAAAAAGCAAGTCTTAAATGGTAGAACAAAAAGCAAATCTTAAATGGCAGAACAAAAGCAAATCTTAAAAACAATAAAAGGCAAGTCTTAAATGGCAGAAAAAAAAAGCAAGTCTTAAATGGTGGAACAAAAAGCAAGTCTTAAAAGAGATAATAAAAGGCAAGTCTTAAGAAATATTTAAGCATAAAAAGAAATTCCTCTCTAAATGAAAAGAAAAAAAAAGACAAAAATGAGAAAAAAAATTTTTTTTTATGTTTGTTTTTTATTCACAAATTGAAAAATAACAAGAAAGCTCTGGAACTATCACAAAAGAGACAGGGAGAATAAAATGGTACAAGTGAAATCTAATTAACATAACAGGCAGACAAGGACAATGACAACACATGAAAGTGGTGGGGGGGGGGACATCAAAATATGAATTTTCAAAAAATTATAACCAGGAAATGAAAGGAAATTAAAAAAGATAAAATAAAAGAAATGGAGTCATTCATTCATTTTTATCCACCTTGGGCAGCCATGTTCCCAAGGAAGGCTGAAGAAAAATCATTATCTCCAACAGATTCGCCCATTTCCATATTAAGCTCTTTGCTTCTTAGATTGCTAACATAAAAATCAGTAATCAGCTACATGCCTCGCTTAAAGGTTTCTACTTTACACTATCTCTTTTTATTGGTGATAACTTCATATAAATAACACAATTGAAAGATATCACCTATTAAAACAGTTGATATCCTCAACTCCCCCCAAAAAACTTTCACAAATCAACATATTGATTTTGCTTGAGAGAGAAGGAAGACTGTTGCATGTTAAACACAATCATCAAGCCTTATGATTGTGCCGAGCATGAAATAGTCTGTTACCTGTAAGGGTTGACTTCAATGTTCACTTTTATATTTACATACACACTATTTCTGATATTGAGCACTTTATCCCATAAATATAGCACACCTTAAAACTATATATAGATATATAGAGACAGAGCGTACGTAAATACAAATATAAAAGTGAGCATTGACTTCAACCCTCATAGGCAACAGGCTGGACGCAATCGTCAGGCAGCCTGACGATTGCATCCAACAATTTAAACCTGTTGCCTATGAGGGTTGAAGTCAATTTGGAAGTTTTTATATATATATATATATATAAACAAATATATACACATGCATATATATATATATACACAAACAAACACACATATATATATATATATATATATATATATACACACACAACACACATATATATATATATATATATATACACACAAACACACATATATATATATATATACAAACACACATATATATATATATATCACAACACACACACATATATATATATATATAATACACACATATATATATATATATATATATATATATATATGACATATATATATATATATATATATATATATATATATATATATACACACAAACACATATGCATACACATATAAAACACACACAAATATATATAGACACACATATATGCACACACACACACAAATATATAGAAGATAACAATATATATTTTTACATATCAAAAACAGTATTGGGGTAATTGTATGACAAATTGGAAAAAGCTAACTTGTGATGTGTTTCATCCTTCAGGACTTCATTGGACTAAATTTATTATGTTAGTATGTGGGGTGCTGGTGATTTAAAAAAAAAAAATTTTCCATCAACTTGTTTAGAATTTTTTTTTCCCCTAAATTCTAAAATCGCCTACACCCCTTGTTCATGTTTAGTCGTACCAATATAATAAATTTAGTCCAATGAATTTCTGAAGGATGAAGCAAGTAAACTTTCTCCATTTTGTCACACAATTTCCAATACATACATAGAGAAAAATCTAAAGTGTTGGTACAATCAACAGAAAGCCTGCATATGATATGTCTCACTGAATAATTTAGATAAGTTTTGTCTACTTATTTTCAATAGGATCCTCTCATTTTCAGGGACAAGCTTCTTAGTATCCTTATTAAAGGAAAAAATAATAATTACTAATCCCTACATGCTGTTAGATTTTAAATCTGAAACAGTGTCAGTCAAATTGGTTTTGGGTGGAGTGCTGGCACCTTGGTCATTTACTTTAGTTTTTCTTGTATTTATAAACAAAACTGATTTGTATTTGTGGTTTTCATTATCTATAGAATTAGTCCAACAAGATTTGAATTTATTACTCACTGTAATAGCTTGAAGTTGTGCCCTTAATACATTTAATAAAAACATTTGTTAGTTTAAATGCCGAAAAGATAATTAAACCACCAGCTACCAATCACCCCTAAACAAAGTATCTAAAACTAATGACAACTTAGATACTGCCACATCAAAAAGTATAAAAAAGAAAGTCACATCTAAACAAAGTATCTAAAATTAATGGTTTGTCACAAAGTCACAGACAAAGGAAGTAGCTAATGAAGATTTGTTAAACTGTTATTTTACATGTAATATCTTTGTAATTTTTATATATATAACACAACAAAATCAAAAAATTATCCTCATTGATTATAACGAATTGTCTATAAAGATCAATGAAGTATTATTACACTACATTATTTGGATTATTGTTCTCATCTTTTCAACAAAAATGAGATTCAAACAGCAACATTTGGTCCCAATTTTTCAGGTGGTTGGAATGTCATTTCAACATTCCAACCACCTGAAGAAGGGAAGCGTACAACAGCCGAAACATTGTAATAAACATGGTGATAAAAATGAGAACAATAGTCCAAATGAGTATAGATCTATTTCAATCAATTTGTGTGTGTGCGTGTGCATATAGCTTAGTGGATTAAAGCAATGATTCATGAATTTGGCAACATAGTAATTGTGAGTCAAATCTTAGGCCAGGCAGTGCATACTTATACTCCAAAAATTGTTGATGCCATATTCACTAGAGAAAAAAAAAATAAATAAATAGAATGATTTTTATAATACAAAACAATATTTTGGCTTTAAATAGGTGGCGAAGGATTGATAAGTGATAAAAAGAAACAACGAAATAATCAGTCAATCAGTACTGCACCTATTCAGATTTTTATAAAGATCAATCAAGCACATTGAGCTAAGTACTGTTGCACAGTGATGCAACTTTTGATGAGTGGTTGTGAACAAACTTACCTCAGCAACGATTCCTAAGTCTCCTTTCTCTTGGGAATCAATTTTGATTTTGTCAATACTGCGACCTGAGAAAGAAAAAGAAAAATTAACAATACAAAGGAGAGTTAAAATGAAAAATGGAGTGAAGAGCTTTCTCAACATTCTTGCATTAGTGACACACTTTTCAAATGCAAATATGTTCTACAGTACATCGCTAAATTTTTTTTTTTTTTTTAGACAAACCAAATATATAATTCATAAGATAGCAAAAAAATAAAATAGTTTAATTTAATTTTGTTTTTTACAGCTTATCAACACTATTTACATTATTCAGACTATTGTTCTCATCTTTGTCACTATAATTATCACAACATTGTACACTCCAGGATTCTTCAGGTGGTTGGAATGTCAAGCTGAATGCTTTATTTCGCTCGCTGAGGTAGACTGTTCTAGTTCCACATGCCATGTCTAATGGATGTCAGTTATCTCCTGTTATTCCCCACTTCAAGTTCTATAACCAGGTATTGAACTCACAACTCTTTGGGTCCTGGCACTGGATATGACCAATGCCTTTATCAACTGTGCCATGTGTCTTTAAGGACATCCGTGTATGACTTTTTGGGACTTAAAAACTTAATGTCTTCAGCAAACCTTTTTAACCAGTGCTCATATTGCAATTTTTGCAGTTATCATTGCATCATTTTTACCAGAGCACATATTGCAATTTCTGTTGTTATTATTGCTTTTCTCAGGCACTCCTTATTACTGGTTCCCATATTGTATTCATTTCTATGCTTGGTTGGCACAGGAGATTTTTGTGGCCTAGCATATGTGCTGATTCCTTAAGTTTACGAAATTCCAATGATGCTCTTTGTCTATGATTTCAACCAGATCCCATAGTGGACGATGATCTCCCTTTTCTCTCCATATGTGGTCAGCCACACCTGATTTTTCCACTTCCCCTCATATTACAGCTTTTTGGTGTTCTTGAAGGCTTAAAGGGGCAGCCTGTTTCCCCTTTATATTTCTTTCTTATCAACCCTTTGTAGGTTATTTAAGGCCTGAAAATAGTTTTAGATTTTAAGAATAGAAAACACTGGAATTTTTAATTATTTTAATTGATACAAGTTTTTTTTTTTAGCAAAAAAATGAATGAGACAAACTGTAAAACAATCACTGCCAGACTGTGAAACTTTTTGTCATCCATTGAACAGACACACACGGCTGCTGTTTTGAGTCACCTGCAATTAGTGCTTTGAGGTTATATTTTTATTGTTTTTTTTTTTCTTTAAGAAGTAAATTACTATTAATTATACTAACTAGTAATATTTTGTAGCTTACATTTCCAGTAAAGTTCAACAAAAAAAGATACTGTGGGTTAGTGAAAATCTCAGATTCTAACTAAATACACAAAGACAACCACTAATTTTAATTAGGCATTGTCCAGCTACAATTGTGAGAATTGACCACATGACTGTGAAGCTGTTAAACTTATAACAGGTGCGATTGATAAATTGTCGCTTAAATTATGAAAAAAAAAAAAAAAAATTCAAACACTACTAACATCTCATTTTTAACAAAAATACACAAAATATCTTAATTTCAATAAGAGTCTCCAGATGAAATTTAAATGTCAACCCCAATTGTCTTCTGCATAAATTCTTTTGTTTTATTTGGTGAATGTTGCTCCATAATCCTTACCTTAGTCCATCTTAATGTTAATAAAGAGTTCATTGGTCTCTTTTTTCAACTGCAACTCATACAAAACAAACCAAAGAGGTTGCAATCTGGGAAGTTAATGATGATTTTTTTTAAAGGAGGTAATTGGTGAAGAATGTCTAAGAGCCATGACTGTTCTCAAAAATGGCACAAGTCCTGTTGCTAGATACATTTTGTCTTCTAGCAGCCACCCTCTTGACCCAGTGCAGCACTACCTTTTCAAGGCATGATGTAGGCCTGTGTTGAGCCCCTCACCAACAAATTTGGGAGTTGAGAAAAATTAGAGTTTGAGTTTTTTACTTCTGTAATCTTCATAATCACCATTAGACTTTTTGAATCCTAGAACTGTCCTCAAATTGACATTAAAAAAACATTCTTGAATTTTTTCATTGGAGCTTCTGCATGAATGCCAAGCAGTACAGCGTGCTTTTTCCAAATTTCTGGAAAAGGTATTGCATCATGGTGCTCTTTTTCTCACAGACAATGCCCAAGTGACCCTACTATATGGTGCAGACAACAAAATCAAAAACAAACACACATGTGAAATTCAAACTATAAAATAAAATATTCAACTTACCCAGGCACACACCATACATATATAAATATATATATACATATATATATATATATATATATATATACCTGGCATGCAAAAATCTAACCAGAACTAGAATATATCATTTTGTTTCACCAACACACAGAGTTGACAACACAGACTTTCACCACATACACAAGAATAGAAAAATCTAAAATATTATTTTGCAACATATTATTACATTTCACTGACAAAATAAAATGATTTTTCTCTTTTCTCCTGTTGTCATAGCAAGGATGGACATGTCTCCACTTCTGAGACTGAAAACTTGACCTCCTTCTCATTCCAGCCATTTACATAGAAGAAAAAACTCACCTATGCAAAACACCAATTTGCCAGCTACCAATCACAGTTCTGCAATGCCCACCTCCAAATGCATTTGGGGGTTTCAAGTTGACAAACCAACTAAAAAATGAAAAATTCCATCATTGTTTCTTAAATGGCATATTTTAAGGTTTCAATAAATATGAATAAAATATTTTTCTTCCATCACTCTTGGTTTTATTGGATTGTTAGAAAGTTCCCGTTTTTTTGGGTCACCCTATATATTATCTTTTGTGTCTATACATGATGTGTGTCTGACCAATGAGAACTATCAAATATCATAACATTTCAGTAGTCTGTCTCTGCTTTTTCATCTCTATTCTTGATCTCTGACGAAGCCTTAATAAAGGTGAAACATGTTAGACTCAGATTTGTTTCCTACATTGTTCTTTATTTCATTTTATCATCTTGCTGGATTACTATCCATGTCTGATCTACGTTTGAAGAGGTCAATAAAGGTTAAGAAAGTCAACATCAGTTAATGAAAATTCTTTAACACATGTTAAGCTTATTTAATTTCCATATATCAAGCATTTTCATTATTTATATTGTGAAAGTTTTAGCTGCCAACTCGTCGATTTTTATTATCACGACACTCAGATTATATGATTTTTATGAAGAGAACTACCCACATTAAAAATAAATTAACTGCTTCCAACAATGTTTGAACTTGAATCTCCTATTCTTTGTAGCTTATTTGACATCTCTTATTGACCCAGCTATCAACATCAAATGACAAGACATTTAAACCAAAATTTATAGCTAAATCATATTTCTCATCTCTTCAGGTTTGTGTGTATATTGATGTGTGTGTGTATGTACGTTTATATATTGGATCGGATAGGATACATTTTTCAACCGATTTCAACAAAACTTCACAGGACTATATAAAATTACCTTGTGGTGGTTCTGACAGTGCCAAAATTGGAAAAACAATTGTTTTTGCATGAAATCATGAAAAAACGATTAAGAGGCATCATGAGAATGAAAGGGGACAACTCATATAAAAGTTATACATATTATAAAAACCCAGGGTGTTTGTGTGTTGTGTGTGTGTGTGTGTGTGTGTGTGTTGTTCATTTTATATAGGATCGGATTTCCTACATTTTTCAAACCGATTTCAACAAAACTTCACTTTTTTTTGGCAGGTAGTGTTTCTTATTGTCTTGCATACTTTTTTTTTCTTTATTCATTCAGAATGCTTTAAAAATTCCATTTACAAGACAATTGTTTATAATAAAACTCTATTCAATTGGTAGGCTCATAACGGTTGAAAACAATGTTTTTGTTTGAGTTTGAAAAAAAAACAAAAAACAAATTAAGACATGCGTGTCCATCAACCTTAAACAATAATCTTTGTCAATTTTATTTTTCAGTCTTTATGATGGTGGATACTTGATCTATCTCTTACTGTTACATCCCCGGGCAACGCCAGGCTCTACTGCTAGTTCAGACTAAAGTCCTCATATTTGTTGTTATTACCACAAAGTTTCAGCTGTTGTACCCTTCACCATTCTTCAGGCATCTGTCTGTATGTGTAATCTTCATGGAATTTCAAACTGAGGCCCCTATTTAATCTATTGTAGGTAAAGAAATGGATGGGTTAGAAATTTCCTGAAGGTTGCCTGGATCAATAGATATATGAAGAAAACTCGAGGACACAATGGCTGAAATGTTTTGGCAGTAACAACAAAGATGAGGATAACAGTAATAATGTAAACTGTGATAACTCCTCATTCCAGAATATCAAACTATTCTCATCTGTTGTAATAAAAATTTAACAACATTAAGATGAAAGATAAACTTGTTAAAAATTAATAGTGATTGATTTTTATCTCAAAATAAAGTTACTCTCAGGTGCATAATGGAAAAGGGATGCTTTTTTTTCTCTTTTCTATTTCTTTTTTTTAGCAAATTTTCTGTCCTTCACCAACCTTATGAAGATTACCCCTTTATAAGTATCACATATTTTCACACTTTTATGCCCCTTTTAATGAACTCCTGACTGTTCATTGCATCATAAAAATATAACATTCTGTAACATCCATTGGTCCATTTGTCAGTCTGTCTGTCACACCCTCTAAAATAGACATATATTAACTGATCAAAACCAAATTTTGGGGAGCAGTGCAAACAGGTAAGGGGGTACAAAGTACAGTTGGTTTTACTAGGGTGTGTACAATAAATTTTCATTAATTTTTTTTCTTTTGGAAGAATTAAAAGTTTTACCATTTAATGTATAAAATACTCCCATTATTTTAAAAACAATTTAATGATTAAAATAACAATAAAAATCAAAATCTTTTTTAGCATATCTTTTTTTTTTATATATATATATATATATATATATATATATATTATATATATATATATACATACAAGAATACAGTTTCTAGTCCACCCCGCATTTGCAAGAACTATAAACAAATCACAAGGCCAAACACTTCA